ACCCTGGGTTCAATACCTAGACTACAAATAAATAAAAATAAATAGATAAATAAATAAATACAAAAGCAAAACTTGACAGAATTACAAGGGAAACTAATAATTCTATAGTCATAGTACAAGTGTGTTGAAACACTTTTATCAGAATTGATAGTTCGGTCAAAAAGTTAGTAAAAAATTCGTTTGAGCTAATGCAAACAGACCTATCAACGCAACAGTTAAAACACAAATAAATGAGTTAATAGAAATTTACCAAAGACTAGGTACAGCTTAATAACAAAGACATGATTTTGTAAAGGTTTGTTCTCTGACCATGGTGAAGTTAAGAAACATTAATCTGGGCTGGGGTTGTGACTCAGTGGTAGAGCACTTGCCTAGCATGTGAGTCAATGGGTTCGATTCTCAGCACTGTATATAAATAAATAAAATTACGANAAAAAAAAAATAAGTGAAATAAAGGTATTGTGTCCAACTACAACTAAAAAATAAATATCAAAAAAAGGAGTAGCAAACAAAGAAATAATTATTAACTACCACTATCTACATAACACAATAATAATAACTGATAATTGAAGCATATGTAAACAAAGTGATGCTAAAATATAAAATGGGAAACAGGCATGTGGCACCTGCCTGTAATCCCAGCAGTTCAAGAAGCTGAGACAGGAGAATCAAAAGATGGAGACTAGGGCTGGGGACATAGCTCAGTTAATAGACTGCTTGCCTCGCATGCACAAGGCCCTGGGTAAAATCCCCAGCACCACCAAGGGAAAAAAAAAAAAAATTGGGAAGCCTGCCTCAGGAACTTAGCAAGACCTACCTTAAAATAAAAAGGACTGAGGATGTAGCTCAGTGGTAAAGGGCCCCTGGGTTCAGTCCCCAGTACTACTAATACTAATAATAATAATAATAAAAGATGGGAAGTGATGGTGATCAACATCAAAGCATCCTAAAGTCCTTGTGTTGTTTGGGAAGAAAATAAAGATACCTGATAACTCTAGACCAAGTTTAGATTAAACAAACAAAAAGCCTTAGGATAGGCCTTGTCAAAACCCTGGGTTCAATACCTAGACTACAAATAAATAAAAATAAATAGATAAATAAATAAATACAAAAGCAAAACTTGACAGAATTACAAGGGAAACTAATAATTCTATAGTCATAGTACAAGTGTGTTGAAACACTTTTATCAGAATTGATAGTTCGGTCAAAAAGTTAGTAAAAAATTCGTTTGAGCTAATGCAAACAGACCTATCAACGCAACAGTTAAAACACAAATAAATGAGTTAATAGAAATTTACCAAAGACTAGGTACAGCTTAATAACAAAGACATGATTTTGTAAAGGTTTGTTCTCTGACCATGGTGAAGTTAAGAAACATTAATCTGGGCTGGGGTTGTGACTCAGTGGTAGAGCACTTGCCTAGCATGTGAGTCAATGGGTTCGATTCTCAGCACTGTATATAAATAAATAAAATTACGAWCCATTGATAACTTTAAAAAAATATTGAGGGAGGGAGGGAGGAAGACTGATTCATCTATCAGGGATATAAGCACATGTCTGTAATACCACCAACTTGGGAGGCTGAGGAAGGAGGATTACGAGCTTGAAGCCAGCCTTGGCAACTTAGCAATACCCTGCCTCAAAATAAAAAATAAAAGGGCTGGGGGTATAGCTCTGTGGTAGAGCACCCTTGGATTCAATCTGTAAGTATGGGAGTGGCGAGGGATGAAGAAGAAAATTTATCTTATGAAAAAAGGCAGACAATCTAAGCATGCAACTCAGAAAGATTTTTTAAAGTACAAAAGAGTAAAGAAAATAGAAAAAAATACTTAAGTGACCCAAAAATAATGAAGCAGAAGATAAAGACACACTCAATAAAACGAAAAGTTTATTCTTTGAAAAGACAAACTTCTAGGAAAACTGATCAAGAAAAGAGAAGGTAAGGGGAGAAGGAGAGACACTAATAAGCAAAAGTAATACATAACTACCCTCCACCTTCCTACCCTGGGTACTGGGGATGGAACCTAGAACCTTATGAATGCAGAAAAAGTACTTTAAAGGCTGGGGATGTGGCTCAAGCGGTAGCGTGCGGCCAGGGTTCGATCCTCAGCACCACATACAAACAAAGATGTTGTGTCCACTGATAACTAAAAAATAAATATTAAAAATTCTCTCTCTCTCTAAAAAAAAAAAAGATTTTCTCTTAAAATAAACATAAAAAAAAAAGCAACCTGTGTGTTGTATTTTTTTAAATATTTTTTTAAGAGAGAGTGAGAGAGAGTGTGAGAGAGTGTGAGAGAGAGAGAGAGAGAATTTTTAATATTTATTTTTTAGATCTCGGCGGACACAACATCTTTGTTGGTATGTGGTGCTGAGGATCGAACCCAGGCCGCACGCATGCCAGGCGAGCGCGCTACTGCTTGAGCCACATCCCCAGCCCAACTGTGTGTTGTATTAAAAAAAAAAAAGAAAAAGAAAAAGTACTTTAACACTGAGGTACATCCTCAACTCCAAATAAACAATATAAATAAAGCCAAGTTTTTAAAAACAAAAAAAAGTTGGGAAAAACTTAATAAATCTGAAAACTTATACAAAATAAATATATTTCCTTTAAAAATTAAATTTACCAAAACTGACTGACAAGAGAGGAATGACTTTTTAGTTTCTAACATGTTGTGGTTATGGATATGAATTGTATTTACTCAGAAGAGGAAAAGCTAAAAAAGAAGGATAGGGTGCAAGTTCSATGTAGCTGTAGCTGGATTTTCAGTGTTTGTAGGGAGGGGTTGGTAGTGGTAGCAGGGTTGGTGCACAAGTCATAAATTTAATTTTGAATATGTTGAAATGGAGGTGCCTTTTAAGATATATAAAGCATGCAGTTGGAACTATGGATCAGGGGCTCAGGAGACATATGGACTGAAGATAATATTTGGGAGTTACCTGTATTCAAATGATAATTAAAGCCACAGGTGTGGCTAAAATAATCCAGGAAAATAAGAAACACATTGGTTCTCAAAGTATGGTCCCTGAACCAGGAACTTCAAGATTACTTTAGAACTTGACAGAAATGCAAATTCTCAGGCTGTACCTTGATCTACTGAATCAGAAGTTCTGAGAATAGGGCCATTCAATCTGTGTATTAATAAACCCTCCAGTAATTCTGATGTAAACTACAACTTGAGAACCACTAGTACAGAGTGAGAAGACAAGAGGGCTTGGAGCCTTGTCTTGAAAATTGCAGTATTTAACAGAGAAGGATGGCTAAGAGAAGACACAAGAGAAGGGGAAGAAGAATTAGGGGGGGTCTTCAAAAGAAGAGATTTGAAAAGTATAGTGCCAAATACTACTGAGATTTGAAGATGATTATTCCAGAAATAATTGGAATAATGATTAATAATGATTATTCCTGGAATAGGCTGAGAAGTGAGCAGTTAAAACAATAGACAGTATGCACAGTTCTGAGCAGTTTGATTATAAAGCAGGCAATAGAGATGGTGAAGTTGACAGAGGTTGACAAGTAAAAGAAAAATCCTTCCTCCCTCCCTCCCTACCTTTTTTAAAAAACAGGACAATAATACCGGTGGAAGAATCTGCCTGAGAGGGAGAAAGTGACTAAATGACATACCAAGGCAGCAATTAAGCTGTCTGCCTCAGCAGAGGGAGTATTTTGTTATTGACAATGTTTACAACTGCTGCACAAAGTGATAATAAAAAGAAGACCAACCAAACATGGTGGCACACACCTATAATCCCAGCAACTCAGTAGGCTGAGGCAGGAGAATTGCAAATTCAACATYGGCCTCAGCAAATTAGGGAGGCCCTATGCAAACTCAGGGAGAYGCTATCTCTAAATAAAATATAATAAGGGCTGGGGATATGGTTCAGTAGTAAAGTACCCCTGGGTTCAATCCCCAGTACAAAAAAAGAGAGAGATAAGCCTTGTTTAGAAGTCAAGGTATGGCAACCCCTTTGGAATTAAGCACAAAAGTGACTCACGTCTTTTAGATATTTAAAAAACTTGTCAAGGGGCTGGGGTTTTGGCTCAGTGGTCAAGCACTTGCCTAGCACTCATGAGGCACTGGGTTTGATCCTCAGCACTGCATTAAAGTAAATAAAGGTATTGTCCACCTACAACTAAAAAATATATATTTAAAAAAAAAAGAGGGTTGGGGTTGTGGCTCAGAGATAGAGCACTTGCCTAGCATGTATGAAGCACTAGGTTTGATTCTCGGCACCACAGATAAATAAATGAATAAAATAAAGGTCCATCAACAACTAAAAAAAATATATTAAAAAAAATAACTTGTCGGGCTGGAGATGTGGCTCAGCGGTAGCGCGCTTGCCTGGCATGCGTGCGGCCCGGGTTCGATCCTCAGCACCACATACCAACAAAGATGTTGTGTCCGCCGAGAACTAAAAAATAAATATTAAAAATTCTCTCTCTCTCTCTCTCCTCTCTCACTCTCTCCTCTCTCACTCTCTAAAAAAAAAAAATAAATAAATAACTTGTCAATCTCTTTACAAAAGCAACAAGTCAGGCTGTTAATTAATCCCTATGTTTATTTGGGGTCCTGCCCCTAAATCCTCCAGTCATACAACACTTGAGGTACCTTATAATTCTAGATCTGTTCTTCCTCCCTATCTTGCTCTCCTTGTTCTCCATCAAAGTTTGTGCTCTGGCATAAATAAGATGACGTTTTTCCATGGCCTGGAATCTTCTGCCATTGAATCRTCTCAGTATTTCACATACTATCACCCAAGCTCTGCATAAATGACTTGATGACTGTGTGTATTTTTAAAGTGCCTTGCACATGGCAGATGCTCAATTAAGATTCATTTCCTCCTTTCTTTCCTTCCTTTTTTTCCTCTCCCTTGGTGAGAAAACAAACAAAACAATAACAAAAAAAAAACAGGAACAAATTAAAGGTATATTTCTTGTAAGACAGCATCCATTTGGTATAAAAATACTGAAAAAGTTAATACCATTTCTCATCACCTACCTTGTGTCTGTGGGCTGTAAGGAGACAGGAGTTTGGACCTCTTCTTTTCATATCCCTTCTGTGTGATGTCCCCTAAAATAGTAAGAAACAGAAATAGTTTATGCATTATTCTTATTCTGTGGTTGTTCTCATTATAAAAATAAAATTAATTACAGAGTGTTATAGAACTACCACATGCAGTCTGAAGAAAAATGTATGGTTCTTTGCCAAAATTTTGCTAAGTGTAACTTCCCACAGACTTGGAGTGGAGAGAATTGTAGGGCTTGTCCCTGTACCAATCTTGCATAACAATGTGTGACATAATCCAGCAGAGATTCCCAGTTCCAAACTATCCCGACTTTCTTTTCTTTTTGGCACTGGGGATTAAATCCAGGGGCTCTCAACTACCGAACCATATCCCTAGCCTTTCTATTTTGAAACAGGGTCTCACTAAATTGCTGAGTATCACTAAGTTGCTGAGTCTGGCTTTGAACTCACAATCCTCCTGCCTCAGCCTCCTGAGTCACCAGGATTACAGGCATGTACCACTGTAGGTACCCCTAGCTTCCTGGAATTTAAGATATCCTAAAATGGAATGCTGCGAGGCTGACAATGATCTCCTTCAAAAGTTTCAGTTTAACCAAATGGATGCAACTGGTTTGTGAAGTATTTTCTTACACTGCTATAGAGAACTACAAAAAATCATAAGTCTAGTTAAGAGGAACAGTGATGGCTTAGGCACTCGAATGGGATATTTAAAAGACCATCCTCTATCCTAACATCTGTGCTGGAATCTGAAGCTGGAATTCCTATATCCTCTCTCCTTGATTTACTGGTTTATATTATTTACACATATGGCTGTCTTTTCTACAAGGTTAAATTTTAAAAGTAAACATGAAGCACATACAAAGTACAGATACAAAAAATGTCATAAGGATAAACTGATAAATGGAGGAAATGTGTAACTGAAGTGGCAAGAAATGTCTCAGGTAATAAGGAAAGGGGAGAAGATAAACAGGTACAGGGCAGGCTAAAAGGAATAGGAAATGCAGAGGGCCAACAGGGCATTCAAGGGCAGATGACTGAGTCAAAGCTGGGAGAACAAGTATATGTAGTGAAGCACATATGACATGATAGAGCACTGCTTTTCAAAACTGTATTTTTTTTTTTAAAACCAGAGAAAGCTATTCTATTATTCTATTCTACTTTGGACTAGGATTGAACCCTGGGAAACTATCACTGAGACACATTCCTGGACCTTTCTATTATTTTATTTTTAAAAAGGATCTCGCTAAATTGTCATGGCTGGCCTCAAATTTGGGATCCTCCAGTCTCAACCTTTCAAGAAAGTTTTATCTAAAAAGAAGCTGATGATGCTAGTTAAGGGGAGAGCAACAGGGCTCACTGGAGGGCTGCAGCAGGGGGCACCACATGCATATCTGTGCTGGTGCAAGTTCCCAGAGATGAAAAGCAAATTAAGAGAAAGATTAAGGCACTGGATAGAATCTGCTGAGTGGGTGAATATAGGGTAGAGAAGGTAGTTTCTAGCTTGAGCAACCAGGCAGATGATGTTGCTATCTGACAAACAAATATGGCAAGAAGTATATGTCTGGTGAAGTGAGAAGACAAAAGCTGACCCTGTACTTAAGTTTGTGGGTCATCAAGAGGTGTGTGTCTCATCAGAAGTTGGTTATCTGGATCCAGAACTCATAAGAATATAGCTTTGGATCCAGATAATCAGTGGAATCATAAGAAAATAGTTTTACAAAAATAAATAAATTACCCTTTTGAAGTAATTTGGCAATTTCCATCAAAATTTTGACTTAGCAACTAACCATACTTCTAGGAATTTACTTAATGATAATATTAACAAAGTTGCACAAAAATCAATATAAACATATTCTGTGCCCCATTCTTTGTAGTGAAAAAACTGGAAGCAAACTAGTTGCTTATATCTTTATAAGTGGCTTTCAACTAGAAGCAATTGTGCATATATACACACACACACACCCTGCCCCAGGGTGGGGATGCCTGGAAACAGTTTTGTCACAAGTGGAGGAAGAGGTGCTACTGGCATCTGAAGGACAGAGGTTAGGGAACATCCTGCAATGAACAARGCAGTTCCACAACAAAGACTTATCCAGTATAAAATGTCAACAGTTCTGAGGACAAAGATTCCTGATCTATATGATAATATGCAAGTATTCCAAATGTACTGACACTGGAAGATGTCTAAAACATATTAAATACAAAAGGCAAGCAGCAGAACAGAGGTATATCTAGGGTCTAGTCTTTTAAAATACAGTAAGAGATATGTTTGCATATTTATAGAAATTAATCTGGAAAGCTACTTACTAAATTGTTTATCCTTAGGGGATGGCATTATAGCCCAGTTTCACTTTGTTTTATATTGTAACAGAGTCTGATTTTATCAAAACAAGCTTGATTTATATTAACCAGGTGTATCGATACATGCCTATAATCCCAGCAACTTGGGAGWCTGAGGCAAGAGGATCTCAAGTTCAAAGCCAGCCTGAGCAATTTAGCAAGACCTTGCCTCAAAATTGAATCAAATAAAGACTAGGGATGTGGTTCAGTAGTTAAGCRTCCCTGGGTTCAATTCCCAGTACCCTTCCGACAAAATTCATTAAAAATAAATATTCTGTAGATACATATTTGCTAACACAATAAGATGGTCAAAATATTTAGCAGAAAGAAAAACAAGATAATAGTTCACACAGTACATTCTATTTATTTGTTTCTTTTTAAATAGACACTTTAATTTGTTGGTTTGTTTATTTAATGGTACTGGGAATTGAATCCAGGGGAGCTCTATCACTGAGTTATATACCAGCTTCTTCTTTATTTTGAAACAGGGTCTCCTTAAGTTTCTCAGGATTTTCTTGCCTCAGCCTCCCTTTTTCAGAACATTGCTTTTTCAGAAAAGCAATATTTTAAAATACATATATGTATGCATAGAAATAGAATACTTATACATCTTTTTTTGAGGTGGGGGATTGGAGATTTAACTCAAGGGTACTTTACCACTAAGTCACATTCCCAGCCCTTTTTGTTTTTTTAAGACAAGTTTCACTAAATTGCTTAGGGCCTTACTAAATTGCTGAGGTTGGCCTCCAACTTGCAATCCTCTTGCCTCAGCCACCTCTCTCTTTTTTTTTGGGGGGGGGGGGGGGGGGGGGGGGGGGAGTGCCAGTATCAGGRATTGAACTCAGAGGTATTCAACACTGAACCACATCCCAGCCCTTTTTTGTATTTTATTTAGAGACAGGGTCTCCCTGAGTTGCTTAGTACCTCACTTTTGCTGAGGCTGGCCTTGAACTCGTGATCCCCTGAGCCATGGGGATTATAGACATGCCCCACTGCACCCGACTACTTCAGCCTCTTGAGTTACTGGGGTTACTGGTGTGTGCCACCGCACCTCACTTATACACTTTTTTTTTTAATTGCTTTTGTTTGACGTGCTGAGGATTGAATCTAGGGCCTTGTACATGCTAGGCAAATGTTCTACCACTGAGCAACACCCCCAGTTTTATGTCAATATATTAACACTATGGCTTGCAAGATTATGAATTGGTKGTAGCATTTTTCTTTTTTCTATATTTTCTAATTTTTCTACAATAAACATTTATTATTTCAAAAATAATATGTATGCTTAAATTTCAGTCCTACTTACTGAATTGTACAAATTTAATCACAATGGTTCTTCATCTCTTTTTATCTAGTGAAACATTAAAAAAAAATAAAAATCTTTACAAATTAGTCAACTTCAGAGTTTTGTAATCCCAAAACAATATACACAATTAACAAAGGGACAGGAACCTACTACCAAGGAAGCCTTCATTAGAAACAGGAAATTATGTCTCTTATTGTAAAAGAAATAATGGACCATTCTCCTCTTCCATTCCTCACTAAAAAGCTCTTCAGCCTTCTCTCTCCTTATCTCCCCCTCTGCTCCCTAGGGGCATAAAGACCACTTCTTGTAGCTCAGAACACATATGATAAAGTGAAAGGCCTTTAAAAAGCATTCTTCAGTGCTTATAGTCTCTATCATTCACTGTCAATRAATAGTCATGAAACAAACTATTAGATTTGGCAGCTGGGATTATCCATCAACCAATCATTTCAGGTTTTGAAAGGGGTCAATCAAGAAGGTCTAATTCAGCCATCCCAATTAGATCTGTTACATTCATAAAACAGCAAAGGAATTAAAAAGACCTGGGAAGAACAGAGCAGCACGGAAAATGGAAGGACTATGAATGTTTGGCCATTCAGTAACCTAAAGATGCCCCTCTCTTTCCTGACCATAGACCCTGCTCAAAAGTCACCTCCATTGTGAGCTTTCCACCATTTTTTAGTTACTCCTCCTAGTCCTCTTACAACTCTGAGCATATTTCTGTGATAGCACGTAGCACATCACTGGTATTTTAATTATTTGTTTACACCTCTATCTCCCTACTAGACTATGCACTTGAGGGCAGAGATTGTGTCTGGTTCATCACTATAGCCTGCCCACAGTCTGGCACAATAGACATTTGTTGAAAGAGTGGCTGAATGAATTAGTAAAATGGAGGAGTAAGAAAACAATAAATCAAAGATGTGTGTACTTGGGCGGAAAATTAAAATGGGAGAAATAGAGATCTTCAGCAGAAGGTGAAAGACCCAAGGAAAAGAATTTAGTGAGCTAGAAGTTTACTGAAACTTAGGACATCTAACTTGACAAAAGACCTTCAAGATGATCAGAAAAGCAATACTTTGACTGCTAGAAGAGAGGAACAGTATATAAATCACAGGGCACTGAAAGGCAGAAAACCTCCAAATCCAGATATAGCCCCTCAGCTAGACCAGACATAAGATTTCAGTGAGAATTTGTCATTCCACATTTCTCCCCCCCCCCCACCATACTCCCCCTTTTTTTGGTGCTGTGGATTGAACCAAATAACATTGTGCATATTAGGCAAGCACTTTACCCCTGAGCTACAGCCCCAGCCTTTAATTTCAATTTTTATTTTGAGACAGGGTCTGGCTAAGTTGCCCAGGTTGGCCTTGAACCTATAATTCTTCTGCCTTATCCA